GGAGGCACTTTACCCTAAAGCGTGTGAATTCAGGCTCTGAAACTCAGCACCACGTGTGTAACTGAGCTGCTCGAAGCAGCAATGTGCTGCTCTCACCCTGTTACGCCGCAGACAGAAACTCGTGGAGGGTACGGTGCCATACCGAGGCATGCAGAGCGAAACCATCGCCATCCTGCCTTGCTGCCTGGCTGCAGTTTGGGAGGAGCAGTTAAATATTTGCTTGGCTGAACTGGGCTGGCTGGTTTGACCAATCACACAGCAACAAGAACGTTTGTGCCTCTAGAAGTCTTTGGCTGAGTAAAGCCTGGCAATAACTGGAACACAGATACTGCAGATCTCTTGGCCCCGTGAATAAATCCAGTGTTTCCTCCTGCCACTGTTACTGGTGGGAGAGGGAAGACACCCCCACCACCACCACCACCCCCCCCACGACTATTTTGCCTTCATTGTCAGTAAACTTCAGGGCAAAGGATGTATTTGGTAGCACTTGCAGAGCCAAAGGAGATGAGTCAGGGAAACGGTGATCAGTGATGTGTGTAGGTGCATATGTGCTTGCACTCAGAAATGGTTTTGTTTCCATAAATTTGATTGTCCTTTGAAAAACGCATATCCTGTTTCAGCTAATTAAATATAGTCTTGCCTAACAAAGCAAATGCTGAAAAGACTGTGTGTATTATCTGCCAGAAAAGCTCTGTATGGGTTCTTTCTGAGCTTCTACAATATTTGTAAGTATGTGAGGGCACAGCAGATTTGCATGGACTTTGACCAAGGGAAGCAAAGTCGCATATCTGAAGCTACAAATTGGACTATGAGATAAGAACTCTCCTGAAATCTATATGCAATTAAAAGCCCAATCTTCCTTCCTATAGTGACAAGGTTATTGCTTTTATATAGCTGAACAGAGATGAATGAGTCTATGGATTAATAGCACTAAGATTTATGACACTGTGCTTGCCCCAAATATTATGGGAGAACAGCACTCCGGGTGAGATATTACAGCTGAATAAATTTGATAGGATTTTTCTTTTCCGTTTTTTTCAGCTTGGTATTACTTGGGAGAGTTGTGCTGCATTCAGAGATTATTAGTGTTGTGGTTTGAATATCTACTGGTTGTCCCATGTATATTCATGCTTTATAAAATTACTACCAATAACTGGAGCCCCACAAAGACAAATGTCATTGAGAAAAACAAAACACAAAATATACTATTTTGAAGAGCGTGAGACTCCAATGGCATTAAACTCTTGGCAAGGGCCTGACCAATGATTTCAGTATAGCTGTGCTGCTTTGTCCCCATGGGAAGGGGGTCATGCCTATGCCCCATGGGTGTCCTAAATGTTATGGCTCTGTTACAGTACCTGCAAGCTGTAAGCTGGTTGTGCAGGCATCATCTGGGAGAATGTTTGTAAAAACAGGCCTTAAATTTGTCATGGCAGTGCAAAGGTCCCTTTTTCAGAAGGAAACCCTGATTTGCATGGTTTCTCCTTCATTAAATTGGCTACTTCTCTATCTTGCCATCTCTGAACTTGTTTCACTGTTCCCAGAGACTCCAGAGAGGACCAAGCCAAAGAAGTCACTTCTGGTAGGAGAAACAAGATGTCAGCAATTGGTGAAGCCCACGGAAAACCCTCCATGCTGTGCTGAACTGAAGACAAAGTTGAAAAATTAGGAGGAGGAAAATAAAAATCTGGGGGAATTTAAGCGGAGCAGTTGGGTATGGGGATGCAGGTAAGGGCAGAGGGTGAGGATTGGGCTGCTTGCACTGGAGGAAAGGTAAAACCATGCACAAGAAAAAGCATGGGTGCTGGAGAGGCCCAGCTCCTCCAAATGATGCCATGATTCTAGGGTTACATCTTCCACCATTTAACAAAACTTCAGGGTTGAGTGGGGTATTTTTTTAGCTTTTCAGGAAAAGCCTTTGGGTGTTAAGCAGCATGGACAGGCATGTGTGCTCCACCCATGGACCGAGCCTGCTCCACCACCCTCCAGCAGGCAGCAGACTGGTGGTGCACAGCCATCACATGCCTGTGGGCAGGATTTGACTGGACGAGCGGGCACGAAGGCTTGAAAGGGAGGGGATGCTGTGTCAGGCTCTGAGAAGTGCTGGTAGCATGAAGGCAGGTTTGCAGAGGCCATCTCTGCCTGCAGCAGACTTCCCATTGCTTTTGCTGCTAACAAAGTCACGTTGTCTCGTGGCATTGCAGCATTGCATCTTCAGAGGGTGAGGGAAATGGATTTTGGAATCAGCTTTTGTTCCATTGTGGTCCTCCTGTGGGAGAAGACGAATTTTTTTCCTTAATGCAGTCACAAAGAAATCTTTGTGCAAACAAAGTATCAGGACACCTGTCTCCCTATTTAACCTCAGCTGTGAGCGAGAGTCCCCTCTTCCACTTCTGACTTTCTTTTGCACTGTGTGCTTTCTGCTGGCTTTGTTTTCTTTTGCTTTGTTTTCCTTTCCCCTGGCTGCAGTGATTCACCCGCTCAGGGAGCATCCCTGCTGGTCGCTGCTGGTTTGGCATCGTGCAGCACGGCTTGAGCACTCAGCAGTGCCAACGGGCACAGGACTCATGCCAGGTACGCTGCAACATGTCCCAATTTGGTGTCAAGAAAAGGACAGTACTCTAAAAAGGGGCACACAAGCCGTTGCTTTATCCGGGGAAGGAGTCCATAAAACAACAGGAAGAAGAAATTCGAGTAAAATTTCTTTTCTGGACAAGACACACTGATGGAGCTGATATCGTTGGAGTCCTCTCCTCTCCTCTCCTCTCCTCTCCTCTCCTCTCCTCTCCTCTCCTCTCCT